AATTATTACAACACAAGTATTCAAATTTAAAGAAAAAAAAGAAAAACTATGCTCACATTGAAATGATTTAAGAAGTAATTATTCATAGATTGGTCAAATGTCGGATTGTTCTCATACTTGTGGTGGAGGATTGCGAACCAGAAAGGTATTATCAACGCTTGAATGGAATCATTCGAATGCCTTTGGAAATTTTGTTTTTCCATTGCTGTGAAAGAAATTTCACGAAAACTTATCAGCTTGTTTTGGGTTGTCTTATTTTTCACTACAGATGAGGACCACATTTAGGCTACCTATATGCTCAGATTTGACCTGTAAGGATAAAATTCTTTGACACAGTCAGATAGCAGAGATTCTCAGCCTTCAGAATATTATATATTCAGTTGGACGATTTTGCCTTGTTCAAAAGATATGGCCTAATCTTTAACAATGTATCATTTAGTTGAGCAATCGCCAAGCTCTATATCACGAGTACTACTTTCGATCTACCTGTATGCTCAGATATTTTTTACTTCATACAAAGCTGTCAGCAAACGAAAATTGCATTCAGGTCCGTTGCATTCGTCGTATCTCACGAACGGGCGGTGCGGAATCAACACTGATTCTACCGGATGCGCAATGTCCCTTCCCAAAACCACAGGACAAGGAAGCGTGTGGCCTTGTCGACTGTCCTATTATTTGGAAGGTCGTTCTATCTACATAATGAACTTCCAATCTCATAGCTACATGCTTACAGTGATACACTTAGATTGCTTTTTGTGGAGCAGCTGAATTTATACTCCATTTCATTGAAATTGTTCGAGTAAAACTAAGTTCTGCTGCAAGTGGTAATCAAGCAAGAAAACTCCGATATATCAGTTCAGGTTGACGTATGGAGCCAATGCTCGGCAACCTGTGGTGCAGGAGAACAACGTCGCGAAGTGACATGCGAACAACGCATGGCAAATGGTGAAGTGCGAGTTTTCAACCCGCCCAATTACTGTCGTCATCTGCAAAAACCACCCACCGTTCAATTGTGCAATCTTGGTAATAAATTCATCTTCATATCTAATCAGCGAATCTATTTTCAGTCACTTTCGATAGGCCAATATTAAAGTTAACAATTGTCATTATCAGTATTATTGATATTTTATCATTATCCACATCAATATTAATCAATATTATATTATCAGCGTCTTTACCGATGTCACCTCATTATCTTTATTTTAGGCTCCTGTTCAGCCGATGGCCGATCCCCGTTAGATACTAATCGTCCGCAGTCGACGGATTTCGACCAAAAGAGCAAGCACCATCGGAAACTGACACTGAATGTTGGTGGAAGGGCAAATCTTTACCAAGGCACTTCAATTAAAGTAAATTTTATCATTTTGCCTAAAGATTTATTAAATTCGCAATGCTTATGAATGATTTAATATGATGGGACCTTGAAATGTGGAATAAATTAATGCTCGGTATTCCTTTTATTATAGCTAAACGCAATGATCTTACAGGTCAAGTGTCCTGTGAGAAATTTCTCAAAGGATAAAATCATTTGGACGAAGGATGGCCACAAGATTGTCAATAGTGGTTAGTTAGGTGTTTCGTTCATTTTTCATTCCGTGATATTGCATAAACTTCTAAAATTTCCGTGTCAGAGGACCCGACTGATCTTGCCTGTGTTTGCAGCACATATAAAAGTGTCTTCTAATGGAGCACTTCGAATATTCCATGCACGCATGGAGGATGCTGGTGTGTATGCGTGTTATGCAGGTGGCATACAAGGCAACGTCACTCTCACCTTCAAGCAACGCGAAGAACTACGAGTTTGTGCATTTGGAATATCATTTCAAATGATCTTTTTACATACTATCGCAATTCCTGTTCTTGTTCGATGCAGCTAAACTGCGATCCTTCTGAACTAAATTCTGATGCTGATAGTAAACTTCGGTCTCAAATTTCATGGCCCAAGTAGTGAAACAGATTCTACCGTATGAAATTAGTGGCATCCCAAAGTGCGCTTTTAGGATGATCGCGAGAACAACGATTCACGTAGGATGCTCGAAAAAGCAGCCCAAGCTGATGGATCGGACGATACACCAATATCTGTTGATCATGAACTTATTCAAGTAGGCCATATAGTTTTAAGTCGTTGCAGAGAAAGCATTTGAAACAATTTTATCAAAGGCATTTTCAATCTCCTCATATGTTCAAAGCGCAATTCCTTTGACGTGAAGAAAAATTTGTGTTTTAGAAAGTGTTAA